ATGGCTACATGCAGGGTTCAAGTGTGCCATAAGCTAGAAACTGTTCCCCAGGCTTCTCCTTATATACAGGAAGCAGACCACATCCCTAAGGCAGCTACTCAGCTGCTCACAGTAGATTCCACCATGGAGTTGGTTACCAGTGTCATCATGTGGAATACTACATTCAGCTGCCCAGCCATTCAACCAGTCCCAGCTAAATTGACATGCAAATGTAACTACCACAATTCCACCCCTAGTCAACTTGGCACCTGTACAGATCTTCAGTGGGTGGTATCTGTACAGATCTCCTTCACTGGGTGACTCCAGTTCCCTAGTTCCTGAGTGGTGACCTCACCCCCTTGGCCTGGCAGACCCCATTTCCTCTTCCTCTTGGGCATGGCAGCACTACCCTCTCACTCTTGGGCAGCGGCTATAACTCCATCCCACTGACTCACATGAATGAGCAGCCCTACACTCCAGAACCAAGTTGGTGAAGGTCTGGCTCTTTGAAACCTAGGGAGCTATGGTGGTTCCACCCCCAAAGGCCTTGGTCCTGCCCTTGAGGCTGAGGCAGCCTGCTTCCCATTTCCTTGGTCTCTCTGCTTCTGCCAATTAATGCCCGAGGGCAACCCACTTCACCAGAAATCTTCCTGCCAAAAGGACACTTACATTCTTGCTCTGTGGGCTGGCCAACCTGCTACTCTTATCTCATGCAAGTCTCTTGTACCAATTAATGCTCGAAGGCAACCCATTCTGCTAGGAAGGTGCCTACCCAGTGGCCCCTGGCTTTCTCCTCTGTGGGCTGATAAGCCTGTTGCTGTTTAATGTCAGTCTCTGGGCTCTGCTTCAGCTGTGTCTCATGCTGGTTTCTCTGCCGGTATCTCTCTGCCAATCTCTTGGCTGTGCTGCTGCCATCTCTCATGCTGCATGTCGGGTTCTCTCTGCTGGTGTCACAGGTCAAGGATGCATGCCACTCCTGTTTACACGATGTAGGTATCTGTCAGAGCAGCACCCCAGTCTTTCAGTACCATATTCTGTTTTGGTTACCTAATGCCACTCTAACAGAAGTACCACAAATGGGATGGCTTGAACAAACAGTTCATTCTCTCACAATTTGGCGGCTTTAAGTCCAAGTTCAAAGTTC